ACTGGATGAACAAGCTGATAAAAAGTTATCTGTTTTTACGCGTCACTGCATCTTTTGCAAATGCAAAACTCACAATTTCGAGAGCATGCCTGTGCCACGTCCTTTCCCCCACATGAAAGGAAAGACTAAAGCACAGGCACATGAGCAACATGTGTTAAACCGTAGAGCAACAACCATTCATGCTGTTACCGATCTGACTACGTTAAGTTTGGCGCAAAAACGCATGAACACACGGGCAAGCCTGGTGCGCTGCTACCTGGGTTTTATTAAAAGGTGGCCCGCGAGTTTCAGCATGTAAATCAGGACCGCGTGTTGCCAAAGGTTGCCCACGCCTGCTCTAAGTAATCCAACTATAAAAACATAGCAACATATTTCGAAATGCCAGAAAAAAAACTTGCCCGGCTCGATGGCCAAGTAGACCACATGGAAATTTCACTGCCTATTTTTGGAAACTCTAATTTATTACTTCGAACAAATGCATTCTTCGCTTACTATACACATATTTTTTATCCGTTTCTGCATATATGCAAATGCAAAAACGCATATTGTGACGACCCACGGTGTATGTGAGTTTGTGTGTGTATGTCTGTCTGTCCGGGTATTTCAACTCGACGACCAAGCAAGCTCCGGTGCCAGAATCTTGCCAGCAGGTCCCCCGGCCAAGGGTCACCCCAAGACCGCGGCACCAACCTTCATGCAGGTCTGGAACACGCGTACAAAAGCGTGAAAGTTTTGGTGGAAAGGTCGCCAACTCCGGAATCAGAAAAGCTAGAGAGCAGAAATTTTAAGGGGATGTTTCTAGTCCACGTAGAAAAAGATTTCAAACTTAGCTTCTAAGCTTGCGTGATTCTCATGCATGATCTCATGAAAATTTTTGGTGGTAACATCACTGATTCGGGTGCTAGGAAAGCTGGAAGGCCGAAATTTTAAGAGAACGTCCCCAGCCTATGTAGAACTTAACGATTTCAAAGTCAGCTCACAGTTCAAGTACCACGTGGTAGTTGTACAAGTAACTTTCTGAAGTTCGGAGACAAGTATGCCACAAATTCTAGCCATTGTGATTCCAAGTGATCTTAGTGTAGCACGAAATACTGCAAAAACGCATGATCGCACGGACCCATCTGGTGCGCGTTGTCAATGATCAGTTTCAGGACTGTCCAGTTTCGATGCCACCACGCAAAAAGCGACAGGGCAGAGATGAAAAAAATATGGTCATTTACAGAAACAAGGGAACAAACTGTTTTCGGAATGTTCACTGACCTGATACTGCCACATGCCCAGTATTTCTACAAAACAATGATGGATTTGAGGACTGAATATTCACGTGTTGAAAGAGTTAAATGATCAGACCATTTTTGGTTCGCTGCGCTCATTACATTCGAAATTAATTCTTTTCATGGTTATCAGTATGATGGAATTCAAATCCTTCGGTGCTTAACACTGTAACTGTGATTCAAAACAACTATTAGGAGCAAATTAAACAGAACGAAACGGGTATGATATTAATGCTCAGGTGTAAATAAAAGTAAAGACTCGCAGTATATTTTACTCTCTGTGGAGGAAGTGGACATGCGGTAGCACACTGCAAACTAGCAACGCTTCTGGTGATAAGTAATCACATCCTGAGAGCTGGTTTGAAGAGAGATGGTTAGCAGCTTCCCCCAGCACGCGCCAGCATTAATTTATCA